TCCCATCGACCACCACCCTCTGGGTCCTACCGCAGAACCAATACCCCAGCCAGCAGATTGTGGTGAGGTCAAGGTCACAGTTAGCCACTTTAGCCAAGAGGTGATCATGGGATACCAGATCAAAGGCTTTTTTAAAGTCAACATATACAACGTCGATCTCTTCCCCCTTGTGATAAGTTACCTGGTCATAAAAGGAAATGAGACTGGTCAAGCAAGACCTACCCGCAACAAACCCATGGTGGGTATCCCTCACGATATTGCCTTCAGCTATTCTGTTAAGGATAGCCTCTTTGATAATCTTTTCCAAGACCTTCCCCAGGATAGAGGTCAGGCTGATGGGCCTGTAGTTTGCCGGATCTACTTTCCTCCCTTTCTTGAAGAAAGGCACAATATTGGCCCTCTTCCAATCATCGGGCACTTCACCAAAGCACCAAGAGCTCTCAAAGATCCATGCCAGGGGCTGAGCTATGATGTTTGCCAGCTATACCATGTGTATAAACACCCTTGGAGTTTAGCTATTTAGAATTTATTCATTTTTTGACAAAATCATGAGTTTCATATCAATTCACAGTATGAGACTCATGGGACCTTTAGATTTCTGACAAACGCTACAATGAATTCCCAATCCGCTTTTCAACAGACTAAGCGCTCTATGAGATGACATTTTCAAGAGGACTTGCAATGAATAATAGTAGTTAAACTGAAATGGCTCATAATATTTATTATTAAAATTCCCCATGAGCCTGACTTAAGGACTGAGGCACTACATACTAACTGCCACTTTGGGTTCCAAAAGATTCAAGCACATAATAGCAGAATTAGAGAATTAGGTTTAGAGGTTTTGACTTACGTCCGCTCATAAGTAGAAGTGAATTAAATCATTGCCTGCTTACAAAACAAAAGTAGCATTCACAAAAAGAGCATTCATAAGCATTATCTGTAAGGTAAGCCTATTATCTCTGGCCTTAGTATTCACAGGCACTCTGTACTGCTGCCTTGCAAACTGGGAGTAGCATAACCACAATTATACATTTGTGCAGGCAGGCTAATTGGCACTGTCAATCAGCTATGCTAATTAGACTGCCCCACCAGCTGTGTGGAGGCAGTTACACTGTTTCTAGTTTAGGAAGCAGCCTACTCAGAACAGCGCAGACTTGTGAAAACAGTAAATTTTCCATACTGACATAGAGTTTTAGTTACAACAGCTAATGGGTAGAGTGTTTTCCTTGTTGGATCATTTTAATACTGTAACAATAATATATTCTTATAAGGAATCTTCACAATTCTTGGATAGTGAAATTCTTGCCATTACAAGATATTTGTACCATAAAAATATAAAAATATAATCATAAAATATAAGCATAAAAGATGTATGAACCACTTAAGTGGTTCATACATCTTGTGATATTGCTTTGCACAGAGAAATTTCAGTGAGAATGAGATGAACCTGAGACATTAAAAATAAGCTTGTGAAAATCTCTGCATCCCAAATATTTATTGATTTTTGTAAAATTCATCTTCATTTTATTAAGAAAAATGATTAATAGAAAAGTAAATTAATTACCCATACATATATTTAAAAATTTTTATAAGTCTGTAATGCACTTTAATTTCAAATGAGTTTAGGAAAACAAGCAAAGAAGCAAATTTCCACACTCTAAAAGGAGGAGAGATTGCACAAAACAGGATGTAATAACTTGTCAACAAGAATACCATGACACACAATAAATATAGATTATTATATGAAATGACAGTGATAATAATCATCAACTTGGCATAAAACTGGAAGTAATGAGGAAAATCTCAAAACACCATGAAGAAGATTCATCATACCCTGGAAAAGAAGCCACATCCTTTCCAAAAAGTTTGCTTAGCCTTTAGCATTTGACTTTGCCAATGTTCTTGTTTTAATTTACTGCTCCTCTGGTAATTTATGAGACTTTTTAATGTGGTCACAGTTATCTATGCAGTCACTAGAGTAGGTCTCATAAGGCATGGCTTACTGCTTTGATGCATACTACTTCATATAGAATGTACTATATCACCAAGTACATTCGATTTGATTTAAATTCCTTCTTGAACTCTCCAGTCAACACAAAATTTAAACTAGATAATGCAACTAATCAAGAGGGCAAAATCTTTGGATAACTCAACACAAACATCCTGTCTATGCTTGAAAGATGGTGTTGGCTAATGTGATAATTAGAGGATAAAGAGTCTTGCACTTCCACAAAAGTTGTTTGTTTGAACCCACTGGTGTTTCAATCTACATCAATAAACTCACCTTGGACTTTACTGATATGTGAAAAAAGTGTTCCTACAATAAAGCAGCTATTACTATTATTTATTAGATTAGTATGCTGCCCTTCATAGAAGTCTCAGAGTGACTTATAACAGAAAAACAAAATGATTACAGAAACAGAGTAAAATATTATTAGAACTCGTGTTGTTGCATTTGTGTCCCAAAAAAGTTGTTCTATATCTGGCAGTCTTCCTACTGCTATTCTATGCTGGCTAGCTGGGTCACCATGTCTGCTTATCTGTGTGGGACTTCTACTGCTATGAAGTCATCTTAACTGTATGCCACCTCTATGTTTAAATGCTACTGCACAAGGCAGGTGCAGCTCTTTGAAACTCCAACTTGTGGGATTTCAAAGTTTTGAATACTTTGCAGGCATGCCTCCAGGTTTAACATCACTTTGTGCTGAGTTCCTGGACTTTACACCTTTCTGGGGAGCAGAGAGTGTTCAGGCCCACTGCCTCAGTTGGGTTGTAAGGATGTCAAGGATAAAAATTGAATTTATGGGAGAGCTCACATGCTCTGATGCAACCATACTGAGATGGACTATAGCAAATAGCCATCCTACTAGATAAATATTTTTCAATTGCCTCCAGTTTTTGCACCTTGACACTACTTGCATCTACCCTTCAGCCTTTCATATTCACATTCCACTGTTAATCTGAAGATGCCCAGGTATAGTTAAATTTTTCCCCAATTGAATCCAAGTCTCCAGTAAAAAGTGTAATTGAAGATGCCCAGGTACAGTTAAATTTTTCCCCAATTGAATCCAAGTCTCCAGTAAAAAGTGTAATTGAAGATGCCCAGGTACAGTTAAATTTTTCCCCAATTGAATCCAAGTCTCCAGTAAAAAGTGTAATTGAAGATGCCCAGGTACAGTTAAATTTTTCCCCAATTGAATCCAAGTCTCCAGTAAAAAGTGTAATCAGTCAGGTAAGTAAGGTAGGTTTCTTAGAATTGCAGGAAAATTCCTGTAATTACACTCCACCATCACTGTTCATAGTGGTCCTCAAATCAAACATTTCAATTTTCACTGCAGAACATAGGTCAGAGTTACTAAAGATCCTGGCATTGTGGACCCTGCAACTACCCACATTAATACTGGTACTATGAAGAAATACTTCATTATGGTTATACACTTCCAGAACTGGTTGGGAGACATGGGGAACAACAAATGAAGACACAGGTACCATCTGTGGTCCCCAGTGCAATTCACCCATGCAAATCCATTAATAACTTCTGGTACATTACCAAACCTTTGAATCTGGGTACAGAGAAGTTTTCTAATAGCAACAATGGACAGTGCCATAACAACAGGCCATACAAGATGTACCAAAATATAAGTCAATTGCTGATTAACAACTGAGATTGGCAAGCTTCCAGACAGAAATCCTCTCCTACATTTCTATGCTGAGGGGAACTCTTGTATACTGGGACATGCTGCAGCCCTAGGATGAGATCTGCACAAATTTCTAAGGCTCTTGCCATGTAGAAATGCTGCCACCATTACTGGTCCTCCCTACTCTTCAGCATCATCTTGTCTCACCAGTCCGTACTAACCGGACAAGCCTAGAAAGAGTATACAAATGACTATGTGATTTCAGCTCTCTTCTCCTCAGGTGCCCCTATTACCCTAGCTCTCAGGTAATTGTACAGCTTCATATATGTACAGCAGCATATCAAATCACAGTGCTTAGCAGCATTTCCTCCATGCTCCTTTACAGCTATCTGAAAATGTTGCTGCCTAACAAAAGACAAAATAATAATGAGAGGAAAAGAGAGGAAACAAAGGGTATATTTAGTTTGACATAAAATTCCAGACATGCATCCCATCTAATAGGTATCCCACAATAGGCAGAAAGGCTGTCAGTACAGCATAGCACCAGGAGATGCAAAAGGCTTATTTTTGACTTACCATGACTTACCATGAGGGAGTAATGATTCAAAAGACAACTAATTTAACCTGGGACAACAAGGCAGTATAGATACACAGCTCATGCAACAGTTATCCCATGTCACTTGCTAGAGAAGAACTCAACCCAAGAAAAGACTTGCAAAAAAACATGCCTAGCAGGAATTTACTAACCCTTATCTTTCTTACGTTTCCAGCGGACAGGTGAAGTTATAAGAGTAACTTTCCAGTGTATTCCATAACTATCTGTATGCATAGGCTCATAGACTCAAATGATTTTGCTTAGAGTGAAATCCTAAGTATACAGGTACACCAAGGTATTTAGAATATTTCCTATATTGCAGTTTATAAATATTTTTCCAATTCATGTTTAGTGTTGTTAAAGCAGGCATATAGTACTTTGAGGCATACATTTAGCATTCAAAACAACCATCAAAATGAATATTATAATTTAATATGCAAAATTATATTAGAAAATACTTTTCTAAACAATGAAACTTAATGGCTCACCAGCTGAGTATCACAATTCCTTACTCTGTAGGGCCTGACATTTCTTCTCCTCCCCTGCCCACACAAATCTCTTTGTGCCTTATGGGTCATGAAAGTAAACCACCAGAATCAACATTATAAAACGTAAATGAGGCCATGCATTTTTATAGACCAACTGAGGAGATGAAAGATGAAGTGAACATGTCCTGTTTATACAGAAGTGGTTCTGTGCTGTAGAGTACTGCAAATAGGGAAGTACTGTAGGTACAGGAAGATGAACTCCTGCTTGACTTAACATACCTTGAGCTGCTAATTCTTTCCACCTGTCTTTGTTTGCTTGAATGATCTGTACCAAGTTCTCCTTAAAGCTTGTTAGGTCGACAGTTGCTAGAGAATTTTCTGTGGAAGACCCTCCATCAGTTGTAGTACTTTTCACACTAGGTCTTCTTTGTGTTTCAGCATTGCTTACTGCTCCCAAGCTATTCTGGCTGCAGAAAAAAGTAAACTCTAAATTATGAACAGAATAGGAGGTCACAATCATATACAAATGGTTCCTGTATATCCATTCAGAGCCTAAATGGAAATCACTCACAAGGAAAATGATCTCTGTCAAAGAAAGCATAGTAGAAACATGACATTTCCTTATTAAGTGAATGATACCTTGTCACCCACTAGCACAACTAAGGGAAGGCAACTGGGCCAGCAGCCCTGGGTGCTGCCTATGGGGGGGGAGGGTGCAAAAAATAGCCACAACCTCAGAGAATTCTTACAAAAAAATATAGTCATTCAGCTTACAATTGATAGCTCAGTACCTAGAAAAAAATAATGTAGCAAGTCTGGTAGTAGCTTTCTTTGTAACCCTTTGAAACAGAGTGGTGCTTTTGGGGCACATACGTCACCTGCCCATCATTAACCCATACCAGAAAGGTAAGATTTGCCAGAGCAGATAATGCTCTCAGATGCATGTCCTTGATTCCAACTCTCCACAGGAGCTCTATGCATATATCCAAAGGCAAAATATTGTCTAAAATTATGAAGCTTCATAAAAACCACTGAAGTTAGACAAAAATATCAAAATATGTTGAAATATTAAACACAAAGATAGCACTATTCACCAGCTGACATTCTGTGCAGATAAGTAACAACTAGGATAAGGAACCAGGTCATACTGTCTCTATTTGTACACATATTTAGGTGACAACTTGATATATTCAAAATGAATTATTTCGTTAACACTAAAAGTATATTTTGAAAGTCTATTTCATGGCCTCATCCTGGCCCTGGTCACACCAGGTTTTATTTTCCAGATTATACTGTTTTCCCGATCAAGAGTAGTACCACTTTAAATTACTTCAGAAAGAGTTAGAAGAAAAATGTCATTTCTTGCATGTACAGAAATGGACTTCTATTTCCCGGGCAAGGAGGAAGCATAGTTACAATTAACATTTTAGTGAAGATATTATAAAGATGTTGTTGCAACACCACAAATTAGAACTCCTTTTGCCCTAAAGATGTTAAATATAATAGAATGGAGAAGGCATATTGGCATTCTGATGCTTGTCAGCAATATAATACATACAGCCTCAGATATTAGTGATTTCCAGCAACTAGCATAAATGTAGCAGAGTTGGTTCAGACTAATCTCCCCATCCCTTCCTCAGGCCTTAGTCCTTCATCCCTTACTCAAAATTATTTGAAAAGTGCTAGTGCACTCTGATCACCTCGTATTCAACTATCAAGTTCATGTGAGATTGGGGCTTGTAACTGCTCAATCTCCAATAAAGTAAGAGTGAACAGTTAAGTGGTACGTAGCTTCACTGATGTCTCAGTCTAGCTCAGTTGCACAAAATGGAAAGAGCATTCTATAAATAACAGTGTCTCTACAGCAATAGAAATACATGTAGAGTATGTTAATTTGCAAAAAGCAGACAATTATAGCTACATCATCCGGTACTAAAAAATCTAACCAATACACTCCTAAGGAATTACTGCACTGCAATACTGTATACAGTACTGCATTGTATTACTACACTGAATGTGGCTTTTCAAAGATAATCAATGCATTAAAAATAAAATACTGTAATAACAGACACATCTGGAAAACCAGATTTGATTATCAAACAATAAATCACATGGCTAAACTGATCTCTAGCATCTACTGAAACTTTTAGACATTTTATGAAATGTAAAAGTGTGAAATTCATGATCCCACATGGGCCTGCTGGAAGCTCATTACGCATCTCCTGTTTTGCCGAACTGGAATGAAAGTGAAACAAATTTTACTGAAGTACGTACATTGTATAATAATGACCAAAATCTGTTGATCTTTAGTATGTGCTGCCAAGCTATTTGGACAGGTCTGAAGTTTGGGGATTTGACTAAAGCATGGGGTGGTGGGCTGCTGCTGCTGCTTATTCTTTGTGGTTTAAAGGCACAATGACTCTTAAAGGATTTGACCTTCAACAGTTTGTCAAATACCCTTTCTGAACCTGGTTATACTATCTGCCTCTACAAGAACTCAGGTATTTTGTTTTTTATTGTTAGCTACCCTGATATTATTTTGGGAAGGGTGATATATAAATCTAATATATAAATAAATAATGGGAATCCTAAAAACCTTGGGGGAAAAGAAGCCATAAACATCTATGGCTTAAAATAAATTAATAACCACTACCACTACCTCTGGAACTGTTTCTTTCTAGTGATTTATCAAATATAGAAGAAAATCTTTTAATATTTTCACTTAAATAAAACAGAAAAAAAGTTAGTTTGCATGAATTAGAGACCTTAATACACAGCATTAAGTACAAATGGCCTAGTATTTTTCATCATGGAAGCAAAACAGCAAACCTATTTTTTCTGTATGTAATTCAACTTCATATCTGTAGAGATGGGTACTCTGTTACCTATTTTTCCCTTTCCAAATGCAGTGTTCATGTCTAATAAGCAGCTGCAATTCTAAAATATTGTCACTAGATGGCATGATGGTATATGATATTCATTTCAAACGCCAAACATGAAATCAGTTATATGGCTGATGATGTTAGTTGAAGCAAAAAATCACAAAGGAAAAGGATGTTAAATTGTTCAAACCTGGGTGCCCCAAAGGCAGACGTTTCAGATTTTGAAGCTTCCTCTATAAGAGGAATAACAATTTTCTCCATTGAGTCCGTAAGAAGAGAAAATGTTGGTTCGACTATGAAATCAATGAAACCTGAAAAGCAGGAAGTGATAAGTTCAGATTCTACATTTTCCCATGTTTAAAATCCAGTAACTAATCTTAGGATTATAACACGAGTTTTCCATATTAAGAAATCAGATTCTTTATTCACAAACCACATAGTCCAACTTCAAAAACTACTCATTTGTAAAACCAATAGAATGTCATACAGTGATATACACAATGTTTACTCAGTTAAAAAAGAACCTAAGACATTGGGTTTCTCTGTTTAATGTTGGCTTCACATCCTGAAGTGAAGTTCAGTTCAGTTGACATATACTGGCAGTATTGTTCTATCATGTGCTGAAATATTGATAAGTAACAGCATGAGCTTGAGGAGAACAAAATCCCCATCAAAGCTGGAGATACACATGTATACCTAACTGTTTGCATTTGTAGCTTTTCATTCCTTTCCCTGCCGTATGCAATGCACTTTGCAATAAGCTTTTGTTTTGAAAATCAGTTATTGAATAGAAGGGAAGCTATAACAAAGCCCACAAGCAAGAAGTTGTATTGTTGCTGTTACCTTCCAGAACTTCGTGCGAGTGAGGCAGTATTCTAACCTGCTGTTTATGATTCTGTGGAAGTAAAGTGTTACTTCACAGTGTGTAGGAGTTTTCTGTCATATCAATGAAGAGAACAAGTAATATCCCTGGGAGACAGCATTCATCCCACAGCTCTGAGATGTCAATGCTGAACAATGTCTTTTACAATTTAAAGTGCTCATCAAGGTAGGAAATGGCATAGCTAGAGGATGAGGTATTATCCTCTGCTGAGCACTTAACACGAAAAAAATAGAACATGAGACAGCAATGGGTTTCAAGCTCTCCACATACAGTACCTAATGCACCACAACACGAAGGGGAACAGCAGCACTTTAACCCAGAAACCAGCTTTCCATGCTCAATAGGCATAATAAGCTCAAATACAGCATCGTTTGAGTCTGAATAGAAATGGAACGGAAGACATTTTAAATTACAAGATTACACTGGACGACATTGTTCAGTTTAAGGAAGAGATGCTTTAAAATACAGTCTCTCTCCAAGATCATTTGGTGGGCATAGGTTCACACATGTGGAAGACACTTTTCAAGGCATTGTAGTTATCAGGACATGTTACTCAGCAGGCTTCTACAGTCTGCAATTGTAACTGAACTCATGCAAAATTAAAGTAATTATTTTTCTCCCCAGTTTTACAGGTGGTAAAAACTGAGAAGGAGGGAGAGTAGAGGCTGCATTTTATCTCTGAAAATCAGAATGTCATCACCAATGCTGGGGTTTGAATCCAGTGACTTCGGATCGCATCCAAAGGGCATTTTGAAAACAAGGGCTTGCCTGCTAGACTGGGTACCTGGGCATGTGTACAGTGTTCAGCCTGATTGTAACTCATGTAGACCTACCTGAGGTAGCTGGATGTTACCTAGCTTAGTACTGCTAGAAGTCAACTACGGCAGCACAGACTTCAGCACTGCTTTCACAGGCCTACTCTGCCCTTTGGTAATTGCTCACAATGGAAGGTCACACTGCTAACATTGTTACTGGTACCCAAAATAGGTTGTTTCAGTTGAGGCTGTGTAGGTCTACATGAGCTACAATCAGACCGTCATACTGCAGTGTCAACATATCTTTATGCAACAATGAACGAGTGAACCCTCTCCATGGACCACTTCATCAAATTATAAAAAGTTTGTGGGGAATTAGCTATTTACTATAGTTAGGCCAAAGAGTTCTCCCTTCTAGCACCCAAATTGAATGCCTTAAATACACTGTCCCAGAAGCTGTATATGCTGAAAGAACTTAATGTCCCTTCTAACAACAACAAATTACTGCCATGATAGTGTTTGATTTCTCTGAGCAAATGACTAAAGAAATACTAGCTCTGGACACTTGTGTATACTAGTATCCAGAGCTAGTATCCACATACAAGGTGTCCAGTGTGAGAATGGTACATGATCATTCTACATGCATCTAAAGGTATGAGAAAAAAGAAAACAACACTGATTATTACCTATTTGGGATTGAGCCACCAATGTAGACTTGCGGTCACAGAGTGGGGAAAATGGTAGCCCTAGAGCAGCCTCCTTGTCTCCCTGGAAACAGAAGTGTTTAATAGCATAAGCATATATATATATATATATACACATACACACATACACATACATACGTGCAAAGGAGAAAAGCCTGTACAAGAATTTAGCTAATCAATTACTTCATTCATTTATTTTCCTAAACTAAAATAAAACTATGTAAAAAAAAATCATATCACCTCCCCCCGGGTGGTTTCTCCACCTCTGAGCTACATGTTGCCCTATCCCACTCCTCTCCCAACCCCAGTGCCAACCCCAACCCAAACTCAGTGGGGGCAGAGAGGTGGGGGCAGGGAGTGGGTAGAGTCCTGGCTCATGCCTATGCCCCTGCTTGCCAGGCCCTTTAGTGGTAAGTCACAGCTATGCAGGTGTGAGACAGGATTAAGCCATAACCTGTGACTGCTGTGAAACTGGACTAACTTTATGGCAGCATAATATTCCACAGGTTTAAAATGTAAGAGCACCCTAATATTTGTCTTTACATTCTCTGAGAAAAAAGAGAGATGTGGGGAGAGAGAGAAATACAAGTCAACAGTCTAACAATTTCAATAACTTGAATCTAAAAGAATCTGCTGAAAGCAAAGTTCTTGTCAAAATCAAAGCATCTGCCACTGTGCTTTACCATTTGTCAAGGAAGAAAAATAAATAGCATGTTTCATAAGAAGCTTTTCACCATCCTCACAGATTGGATTCAGGAAACCCAGATGCTATGGTACCGGGCACGCAGAAATGCATGCAATAAAAATCCCAAGCCCAAATCATTTCTTCAATTACTATTGTGCAAAAGCATACCTTTGAATTTTGCTCAATTATCTCTGATACTTAAGCTCTCTTTAGTGAACTTGCAAACATGTAAGGATATAATTTTTCCCTGAAATCTGAACTTCTAACAATGACACTGATGATGCAGGTAGCAAGACACTCTCTCATAGCAGTGTGGTACTAAGACCTGGGTATGACACTAGTTTGGTCAATTAGTTTGATTTTATCACCCACAGATTCATAATTATTGTAGCATCTCAGTGACTCAATCCTTTTAAGTAGTTATCCTCATAAAAGTCTTTTAAGCTAGGGAGATATTATCTTCATTTTACTGATAGGGAATTAGGGCACACAGGATGACCTCCCTAGCATCACAGAAATCTGCTGAAGCAAAGAACTGAATCTGGACTTCTCACAAGGGACAATGCTGTACCTATCGCTGTACAGTCCTTGCAGATACATTCAGGTTAAGACAGAGTTTGAATTACACTTTGACTCCTGTGGGGGAGGTCTGCAAAAAAAAAGTGGCCAGGGTTGGAGCTGTGTGCACACATTCCTGCTGGTACCGTGGGGTGGGGGCCAGCAGTGGTGGCAACAAGAAGGGTTCATTGCTGCCTGGGCTGCTTAGAAAGGTGCCGGGCAGGCTGGGGGCTATGCAAGGTGGTGCATGGGCTCCAGGCTGTTGCTGGGAGAGGAGAGGTGCTGACCAGCCTGCAAGGGGGCTCTCGTCTCTTATGAGGGGCTCAGTCCTCCACAGCTCCTCTGTAATTCGAGCCCTGGGTTAAGGACTAATCTGCTTTTTAGCTGCTTTAAAAGGGAAGGGGAGGTACTGCTCAGAGTATGCATGAGTTGTAATGACATGGCTGTTACTTCTGGATACAACAATTTTGCTATACAGGCATACCTCGTTTTATTGCGCTTAGCTTTATTGCGCTTCGCAGATATTGCGTTTTTTACAAATTGAAGGTTTGTGGCAACCCTGCGTCGAGCAAGTCTATCGGCGCCATTTTTCCATCGGCGCCATTTTTCCAACAGCATTTGCTCACTTCGTGTCTCTGTGTCACATTTTGGTAATTCTCACAATATTTCAAACTTTTTCATTATTATTATATTTGTTATGGTGCCTGTGCTCTGTAAATGGAACAACAAAGCCTGGATGACAGCACATCTGTTTACAACGTGGTTTACTGAATATTTTAAGCCCACTGTTGAGACCTACTGCTCAGAAAAAAAGATTCCTTTCAAAATATTACTGCTCATTGACAATG